CACACACACACACACACACACACACACACACACACACACACAATTTTACAGTATTTAAAGTCTGGGTTGAGCTATAGTGAATTTTTTGTTTGTTTGTTCTGAATAAGATTAATACATTGTGACTGGTTTAATGTGTTGTGGATCACAGTCAGTTACAGCTCATCAGAATAGATTATAATAGGTCTTAAAGTAGAGTTGTATTTCTATATTTTATTTCTAATCTTTTATAATGGTACAATTAGAGTTCATGTAGAGTGGATGTAAATGGGTTATAGTGCTCACATGAATGCATTAGAAGTCATAAAGAGTTGGCCAGACTGTTATTTAAAATGGGATATAATCAGGTTTCCCTTCATTACATCACACTGGACATATGCATTAAACCAACATGACCAGAAACCTCCTCCTACTCCTCTTCTTCCACCGCCTCCCCCTCCTTCATCAGGCCTGATTCAGATGGCATCAGCGTTTCCACCCACACCCTGTTGTTACAAAAGATTTCACTGCAGGGCTTTGACATGCTGTAACTTTAAACATACACAGAATAATATGCTTCTCTGCATCAGGTAACTAGCATGAACTAGCAGCAGCAGGTGGATTCAAACATCTTCAACTGTTTTCCTAAAATTGCTCACATGTAACCGCCCTCCAAATAATCCACTGCTAATAATTCTTGGCAGATTTAGAGTACTCAAGTTTTGTTTGTTGAAGAAGTGTTTTGTAATAGTTGTGTATAGTGTGATGTGGTCAGCTTGGATTCTGCGTGAGCTCGGTTAGTGTACTTCCTGCCTTTTGAAAGTTTACATGTCTTTCTGGCCGAGTGGCAGCAGGACACGTGGACTCATTATGTGAGCCAATCGTTCATCCTCTCTTCGCTTTGTCTTTCTGTATTATTGCCTCTGTCTGCCCCGAGCAGCTGCAGCTCCATATGTTCTGTATCCATATGTTAGGTACTGTTAAGCAGATCTGCTCAGGTTTCCAGGTCGTAACTCCAGAGATATCAAAGATGGGCTCCCTTTGTTTGCTCTTCAGAGAATATGCCAAGAAGTGTGTCTTTCTCTTTAACAGGCACAGCTTTAGATATATTTCCTGATCCTTACAGATGGTTAATTTGACAAAACGCTATTTATGAAATCATTATTCAACAAATTTTTGGATAATTTAATTTCACCTTGATAAAGTGTCAACAGACTAATGACAAAACAGCTGAGGAATCATTATTAAAACTCAATATTGGCCAATATTTTTAGCCAAAAGGGACCAAACTAAATCCATAACATCATAAAATGGCTCACCCGTTTTATGTAGCGTGAATACGAGTCAACCAGGGTTTTTTTCTGGATTCATTTCTAGATGTTTTCAGTATGGAAAAATATAAGTATATCCTTATTTTTGCATTGTGGTGTGACTGTAGCAACTCTGTGAAGTGAAATTTGGGTCAATATAAGTTTCAGCTTCATCCTTAAAGCAGAAACTCTGCCCTGCAAACCTTTGTGTTGTTGGTATGTTTGTTTGAAGTGTGTGAAAACAAGGGTATTAGAAATCAATTATTTAAACTCCGTGTCTGTTCCCAGGAAGTGGGAGTGGTGCAGTGGGCGGAGCGTTGCCAGGTCTCATAGGTGCCACTGGTCCTTCAGTCATGATGAAACCCTTTCTGCCGTTTCCTGTTGAGACAACGTCACCAGTTGGACTTTTCCCAAACTTCAACACGGTAGGTGTGTGTGTGGTAGCGACAGGTGAGCGTGTGTCAATAGATTGAACAAAAAAATCTTTCATGGTGTCATCAGTACTCGGGTTGAAACAAGCTCGTGACCTCTGACCTCTGTGCGTCTCACTCAGATGGACCCGGTGCAGAAGGCTGTCATCAACCACACCTTTGGCGTTACCATGGTACCTAAAAAGAAACAGGTCATCTCCTGTACTGTCTGCCAGCTGAGGTTCAACTCTGATGTAAGTGTGTGTGTGTGTGTCTGTGTGAGTGTGTGTCTGCGCGCGCATGTTTTGTTTCTGGTCGATATACAAGATATAAATATAAATGAAGTGTTTGCTTATTAATACATTTACAAGTTTGCTAGAAAAAGTTAGCACTGTATCTTAGAAATGTTTGCTCATTAGCACCTAAAGCCTGTGAAACTGAATTAGTTTTGCAATCATAAATATAATTCAGCACATCTAAAATTAACATTTGCCATGCAAGCTAATCTGAGCTTGCTGTTAACGACCGCATTTCAGTCCTGCGTTTTTATGGGATCTGATCCTGAAAATGAACAGTAACAAAAAACTGCCGTTTATTGTCTGACTTTTAAATTTTCACTGGCGTTACTGTGGATGGAAGTTTATTCTCAAGCAGTTTATAGTTAGTCTTGCTGAAAAGGAGGGTCCTACCACTAGAGAGATGAAGTCTTTTCTTTTTTCTTTTTTTTTTTTGTATAATTTTGTGAGGTGCTCCTGGAAAAGAACAGGTGCGTATGCTCAGGTGTAACACCTCCCCTTCCACACCCTAATGACACAGATCTGCGTAAACGACACTCTGCCCATTCACAGACGACTGCTGTGCGGTAACGAGCTGCCTCATTAGGAACATGCCAGTCAAACATCACTTATTCATGAGCTGGTGAAATTATTCATGAGTGAACATGAAAACAGGAATCACGGCTCAGAGAAGTAAGAGAGGAGCGTGAGCTCAGTCTAACGGGCTGTGTAAAAATTGAGTCATCTAGACGGTCACATGGGAACACTGTTCATCCAGGGGTTCGTTACAGAGTGCTCACACACTCTTACTCTGTGTGGTGACACACAACATAAACAATATTTACAGTGCAGAGATCATCTGTTTACCTGGACTCGTCACAAGAGCGCTCACATCCCAACACAGGGACTCTCACCCTCCTCTCATGCAAGCTTTCTACTTCATATTTTACACCTTTTGCCATAATTTAATATGTTCCGTACTTTGTTTATGACTTACTAAAGTTTTCCACACTATGGAAACATTACCCTTCCTGTTGCAGTGTGAATACCCAGAAAACGAGGACTCGCATTCATCTGATTGGCCAAAACACCACGTTACTGGATGATGTTTCACTGTTGGGAAAAGCTGAGCATGATGAAAAAAATAGCTATGGCAATTTTTTGTTAACCTTCCTGCTGCACAGATGCTCCGGCTTTATTCAGAGAACGAGGGGGCTGCACATTTTTCACGCATCGCCAGCCCAAAAGTAGCCTCAAGTCCATCTCCTATGGATTTAACATTATATGTAAAGTCCTGTTTTAATCAGTCCAGCTGTGTACACAGGTGGCCTAGAGGCCTGGATTTAATGTGTGCTATATGTAGGTCTGTAAATAAAACATAAATGTATTTTCATGCTTCAAGCCTATTGTCCTTGTTTTGATGTGTGAGATTCCAGCAATTGTGCTCTGAGCTTTTCCAAAACACAGGTGTCCTATAGCGTGCATGAATGCCTGCAGCTCCAGAGCTGCTGTGCTGCTGCTGCTTTGCTAGCATGCTTTTCTATGCCTTCTATGGTTCAACAACTACCCTGAATTACTAAAGGGAGATTAGCCATAGAGACCAAACTGTTTGTATGCTGTAAACATGTTTATGTCTTCTGTAAGGTGCTCACCTTACAGAAGAGATAAAGCAATGTACAGGGTTCATTGTTATAGCTGCTCTGAAGTGGCTTTTCCAGTCACTGACTGCAGTCTCTGGCCCTTTCACATTGGTTTTAATTTGGAGGATGCTGAATGGCTCAAATACAAAACTTAAACTTTTCTATTTCTACATCTCAGTCTCAGGCTGAGGCTCATTACAGAGGAAGTCGTCACGCAAAGAAGCTCAAGTCTCAGGAGAACAAAGCCAAGGCTAAGCTGTCAAATTCTGCAGAAACCAATGGGAGCGTCTGTAATCCTGCTGGCCCCGCCCCTCTTGTCTCAGCTGTCCCCGTCCCTCTTGTCTCAGCTAACAGCAGCACTAATCAACACACAGGTTCATTTTTATCCAGTAATAACACTGATGTGAATTATGTTACTGCTGATGTTTTTTTCAGATATTGTTTCATTTTTGTTCATTTTCCTTCTACTCTTCTCCCTTCAGATTTCTTATCCAGAACCGCAGACACTCCGTCTCCTGTCAAATCTTTCCTCCTCCCCTCTACCTCCCCTCTCTCTTCCTCCTCCCCCTCTTCTAGTAGAGCAGGCAGTGAGCCTCCTCCATCCAGCCCCCCATCGGGACTCCCAGCTCCAGGCCTCTCTTCCTCTTCGTCGTCCTCTTCTTCCAAAGTGTCTTCCGCTTCCGCTTCCGCTCCTGTCACCACCTTGTCTTGCCCTGCTCCCCTTCCACCTGCACCCTCCCAGGATGCTTCACCTTCAGTGGAGTCAGAAGAGGAGAAGGCAAAAAAGCTGCTGTATTGTTCTCTTTGTAAAGTTGCGGTCAACTCGCTCTCTCAGCTGGAGGCGCATAATGCAGGTGAGGAGAGATATGCACCTTTGATTTTATATGATCTCCATTAGCATTAGCATGCAAAAACAAAAGCTTCTGTGGCATCTAGTTCTTTGTTACACCTTCATTTACAAAATATTGAATGTATGAAAATTGTCGGTTCTGGAGAATGTTAGGTTGCTGTAATTTAAATTGAAGTTAAAGGACAGAAGGACTGATTCATCTTTAGCACAGTACAGGAAATATGTACAAAAGTGGCCTGTAGAGTCTCTTGGCTCTTGGTTTCTTTGAGCATTGCACAGTCTGACCTTGGGCTGGATTTGCTGAAATGTCCACTCCTGAATAAAATCTCTCAGTGTACGATGGGGGATTTCACATTATTTGGTAAATATCCTTATAATTCTTCCCGGATTAATGGGCTGATAGTCCCTGATGGTAATCTCTTTTCTCCTGAGCATTTTGTTACTCATCGTCTTAATTCCCGTGGACGTATTAAAGATGTACATATTTTTGACTTTATTTGCATTTCGGCTTTGTTTTTGTTAAATAAATGTTGATATTGTGTAACATGTGACATGTTGTAGCTCATCTGTGGTTTTATTTACCTAATTTCAAGACCTGCCAAGTGTCAGCTCATGTTTATTATCTCCTGATATGTGAAACCCTTGAATTGACAGAGTGTCTTTTTACCATGGCTGTAAATCAGTGAGGACAGGTCCAACTACAATATCGGCTGAGCAGTTCTGCTTATTATTTACAGTGCTAAAATAGAGTAAGCATCAGGTGATTAAACTAAAATAATACAAAATATGTCTGTTGTGCATCTCAGCATAGCGCTTCAACTAATGTTACCATCTGTAAATACCAGCAATCAAGTGATTAAATCAACCGGAGAATTTTCCTGGATGGAGATTACAAATGCAGTTCTCACGAGGCCTTGTCCTGTGTTTACTTTAAGTCAGACCCAAAAAACCCCAAAAGAGATTCACATAAAACCAAGTTTTCTTTTGAAAGCTGCGGGAAGCTCACTCGAACATATGCTGTTTTTTTCACTCTTCATATCTCTGAATCTATAAATTAGGTGGACAGTTCAATTGCTGGTAGTTATTTTACTTCCTCACAGAAACATACCAGGGTATATACACAGTTTCACATTTAGCTATATAGCTATAAACACATTTAGAAAGAGGAGAATTTGGATTAATGACACTGAAAGGTGGAAGGAAGGTGTCCCTTAATCTCCCTCAGCAGCTCTGTGCTGCCCCTGCTTGGAGATCTTTGGTATCTACTTTTACTCCTGTGACATTAAAAGATATTCAAAAAACAAATGCTGTGCTTCATGCATGAAATACACACAAGCATTAAACTTATTAAACTTGTTCATAATCCAATATGGCCAAAAGGATTTGTGGAAATCCTGGAATACATCAACAGGGAGAGCTTTCAGCACAGTTTCTGCATTTCTGTTTCCACATTATGATAATCACACATGAATATTTATCCTCAGCAAGTCTTTTCTGGTTGATTTTTATAGAAAGCTTTTGTAACCATGAAGATAAAGATCAGTGTAAAAGCAGACGATGTGTACAGGTTTTATTTTGATGAAATTAAAAAAACAGACCCATCTTTAAAAATATTTTTATAACTACCTTTCATGTTTCTTGAGTTTGTTTTCCTTTGCTTTCAGGTTCAAAACATAAAACAATGCTGGAGGCTCGTAGTGGCGCTGGGCCGATCAAAGCCTACCCTCGACCTGGAGCAAAGCTGAAGAACGGCAGCAGCTCGGGACTGAAGGGCTCCGGCCTGCAGAACAAAACCTTCCACTGCCAGATCTGCGATGTCCATGTCAACTCTGAGATCCAGCTTAAACAGGTAGAAACTCACAGCAGGTTCACAAATGTCTAAAGGAAGGCAGCTACAGGATTGTCAGACTGTTCATATACACTCAAATATTTGCTACACAATACTAAGATTCAGTAAAACCAGCAATTCACCTCAGTATTGCTGTCCCTGAACAGACGTGATCGTCGTCATATTGGACTCCTTTCACAAGGTTTTATAGCATCCTGCAGAGTAAATAGACACATGTTGACATCTGAGGTAAACAGTGGACTGACAGCCTACACTCACTACAGATGAACTGTGGCCAGAGTTTTGTCATGCAGAGGCCACCGTAGCTAGGATAATGCACTTAAATTGTGAGGGATAAGAAAATCAAAGTCAACTGACTCTAAGCTGCACACCCTAGTGGTGTGATTTTACATACTGTACCTTTAATGTAGTTTCAGTTTATGTTTAAAGTTTAAAGTAAAAACAGTCTTCTCACAGTTACAACTGGAAAATTAATGTTTATTCATTTTATTTAGATTTTTAACCCCTGGAAAGGCCTTTTGCTGTACATTAACCGACTAATGTGTTTAACAACTCTTTACCTGAAATGACAAATGAACTTACACTAGTGAACTACATACGGTTGCTTTTAGTTTGTGAATCATTGTGAAATCTTGATCCTTAATTTCATTCAGGTTCTTCTGTTCTTGTGCAGTTTATAGTCTCGGTTGCTGTTGGTCTTGTCTGCCCTCAGATTTCACTGTGACAGTGTTTGTTGTTTTTGCAGCACATCTCCAGCAGGAGGCACAAGGACAGAGTGGCAGGAAAACCCAGCAAACCCAAGTACAGTCCTTACAACAAACAGCAGCGCGGCTCACTCACTGTGAGTGTCTCTTTACCTCCCTTCCTCTAATTAAGTATTATTATTTACTTTTGTCTTCATTCTGGGTTTTTTTTCATCGATGTCTCTTTGTTTCCTCTCCTCTTCTCTTCTCCATGTTTGCTCAGAAGGAGCTGGTGAAGCCTGCGCTCTCACCTTCATTCCTCTCCACTCCTTTTGCTCCACCATCTTCTCCGCTCACCCCCTCTCTATCACTCCCTCCATCCTCTCTGTCCTCTTCCCCCCTCCTCACACCCACATCCTCCCCCCTCACACCTGCAATCTCTATCCACCCTCGCCCTCCGTCCTCTTCCCCCCTTTTCACAGCCTCCTTCCTCCGTCCAGCACCTGGACCAATCAGAGCGAGCCAAGGATCGATTCTCTTCACGCCGTACTGATGCCAGCAGAAGCGGGAAGTCATACCAGCGAACTTTGACCTCTGACATGCTTTTTGTTGCCACTACGGAGACATGGGAGACATCGCATTAAGACTGCAGGGATTCAAACTTGCAACCTCCCCACTAAGAAAGTTGTGAACTGACTCTTGCTGACCAGAAGAGGAGATGTACGTTTAAATAATCCTGAACCTGGATGAACAAAAAAACATAATAAAAAATAACAAAAGAGCTCTTTCATTGAGACATGTGAAGTTCCTGGAAACCAAAAAATACAGAAGTTGCTCAACATTGTTTAGAAAGCACTAAGTGACCGTAGAGACCTGCAAAATCTAAAACAGAAGGCCCACCTTAGAGAAAGCCAAGTCTAGAACAAATATCCGTTTTTAGCAGCCTGCATTGGCCAAAAAAATAGGCTTTTAATGTATTTTGATTTGTCAGAGCTGACAAGACACTGAATCTAAAGACAACCCAGAACCTGCTCCCAAACTCTAACCAACACAGGTAATAGTACTGTTACTGATTTTTTGGGGGTAGGTTTTGAGGAAGTTTGGACGTTTTGATGAGGCCAGACACTAAAGCTGATGGGAACATTTTGCTCGAGATCCCAGCTCGGGTTCTCCCTCAGAGGTTGAAGAGGATTGGAGGAGCTGTTTTATCACCTGCTCGAGGAGCTTAGCAGCACAAATAAGACGTCAGAAACTCAGCAGACGTCGTCTATCGTGACCTAACACTACTGCAGCTGTCAACGTGATCTCACTCAGACGCTACTCTCATGTTTCACATATACATAATTCCTGGAGCACGGTGGCACGGTGGTTAGCACTGTTGCCGCACAGCAAGAAGGTCCTGAGTTCAATTCCACCATCAGG